ATTCCTGAAGCTGACATTTGCTTGGCTCTGCACTTCATTCAGATAGATTACAACTGGCAGAGCGCATTCTAACAATAGATTGGATATAGTGGAAAGCTGCCACTTGGCTTAATTAATTTTCTCTAACTGGTGCTCTATGTTTTCTTTGATTAATTTCCCTAAGGATGATATTGACATTTAGTGAGTATGATGGGTTGGCTGTCTTATACTTGCCTTTTGGGTAGCTATATTTCTGTGTTGGAAACTTTAAAACAGAAAGGAGAGAATGTACCAAGTATGTGCTTGCTGTCTCTAGTAACGATGTGAAGAACCTAGAAGAGATGCTTTTAGTCTTTGTTAAGACTAATGGTGGAAAAAATCATTTTAGACACTTTAAATAAAAATGCATTTGGGGGACCAGCAGATGGTGTAATGGTTACATTACTGGACTCCCACATAATCGACCACAGTTCGAGTCCCGGACCTGGTAGCTTAAACTCAAACTGGGCGCATGTGCATGCATGCGTGCCCAAAATCACGAGAGGAGAATAGAGGAGAAGGGATTGTGATGTGGTCATCCCTGCTAGGAGGTGACTTCTCATTTTCTGTCCCTTTCTCTCTCTGGCAGGCACATGTACCCATAGCAAAAAATCTCTCTCTTGAAAAATAAATAAATAAATAAATAAATAAGAAGTATGCACTTGGGTCACCTGGTGGCCTGGTGATTAAGGTGGCTGAATCCCACATGGCCAACCATGCAGTTCAAGTCCTAGACCTAATGACTTGAAAAACATGTGAGGCACTTGTGTTTATATGCCCAAAATCCTAAAAGAGGGAGAAATGGAAGGGAAGGGACTGCAGCATGACCGTTCCCCAAGGGGCATGCTGTATCACTTTTCCTCTGATGAACACATGTGCCCTCTGACAAAAGTTTAAAAAGAAAAAAAAAAGCACATTTAAGAGTATTATCAAATTAACACATAGCAGATGATACTGTTTTTCTCTGTACTGAATCTGAGTAGTTTTAATTTCAGGAACATATTTAAGGCATTCTTTTTCTTTGCTGGTCCAGGTGGAATCGCCTTTCAGAATCTCGAGATTGAAATGTTTCAGTGTTAATGTAATCTCTTTTTCAGCTTTCATGTTGGCAACACAGTTGAACCCTCTGGTTGAGGAAGAACGGTTGTCCAGCAACTGCATTTGCCAGATTAACCGATTTATTGTTAACACTCTGAAAGATGGAAGGTACGTGGTTTGGTTCTTTTTAACATTTTATCATGTTGTAGATTAAGAACTAATTTTTGAACAGACAAGTGTATTGAATGCCAGCATTCAGTAAGGAATTATTTTTTTTAAATAATTATTTTTTATTTAACTTTATTTATTTGTTTGTTTTATTTTGACCAGAGCGGGGAGAGAGAAAAAGAAAGAAAGAGAGAGAGAAGCGAGCCCCCAGGTCCAGACATGAACCACAGTCAGCCATGTCAGAGTCCAGTGCCCTTAACCACTCCCGGCCCCCAGTTAGGAATTGTAAAAGGGCAATGAGAATTCCCAGCTGAGAATTTATAGCTCCTCAGTTCTGAAGTCAAGTGATTAAAACATGGCACCGAAGGACCAACAGGTGGCATAGTAGTTAAGGCACTGGGCTCCCACATGGCTGACCGTGGTTCAAGTCCCAGACCTAGCGGCTTAAAAATCATGCTGGGCACATGTACATGCTTGCTCAAAATCTTAGTAGGAGAAGGGATTGTGGCATCGCCATCTCCCCTTGGGGGTGATTTCTCCCTTTCCCTCTCATTGTGTCTCTGTCTCGTTCCTCTCCAGTGAGCACTTGCATCCTATGGCAAAAACCTTAAAAAAAAAAAAAAAAAGGCACCCAAGGAAGAGAAATATAGGAACAAATTGGAAAGTTTAGAGCAGATTAAAGCAAAATATAGAATTCTTATTTCTAATTTCTTCAGAAGTACTGATTTTAGAATTTCCTTATAAAGTATTTTTTAATAAAAAGAGGTCACTGATTACAGCAAAAAGATGTAGTTAATAATGTAACACTTTTTTTTACATTTCTTATTACAATTTTGAACCTTTTATACTTAACATTGCATTCAGCCATTGCGGTAATCTACAATGTTGAGTGTCCGCCAGATGCTGCATGCTAGAGAAGCAGGTGGCAAATGGAACTTCTACTCCCATTGCTAAAAAAGAACTTGTTTTGTTGGGAGGGGCTTTATACCATTGTGTCTCAAGTTTTTTTAGGTTTTTGCCTTAGAGCATGTGCGCTCACCAGTGAGAGACAGAGAGAAAGTGAGAAGTCTCCCCCTTCCCCGTAGAAAATGAGGAATCACCCCCCCACCCCAGGGATCATGGCCACGCTGCAATCCCTTCTCCTCCATTCTCCTCGTGGACACTTGGACATTTTGGGCATGCACTGGTCTGGGACTCAAACCACTGTCAGTTGTGTCCAGTGCCTTAACCACTATGCCACCTACTGACCCTGTCTCTTAAGTTTGTTTGTTTGTTTTTGTTTTTTTGAGAGGTTTTTGCTATAGGACACGTGTACTCACCAGAAAGACAGAGACAGAGAGACAGAAAGTAAGAAATCACTCCCCGGAGGGATGGCCACGCCGCAGTCCCTTCTCCTCCATTCTCTTCTCAGGATCTTGGGCATGCACACACATGTGTCTGGCGTGAGTTTAAGCCACCGGGTCCAGGACTCGAACCTCGGTCAACTACATGGGAGTCCGGTGACATAGCCATTACGCCAAATGCTGGTCCCATATCTCTTAAGCTTTTTATTGTCAGTTACACAATATAACCAAGGGACCAGCAGTTGGTATGGTAGTTAAAGGTGCTGGACTCTTACATGGCTGATCACACAGTTCAAGTCCCAGACCTGGTAGCTTGCTTTCTCACTCCTCCCCACCCCCGATCAAACTGGAAAATAATAACAATAACAATAATAAATAAAGTTAGATAAAATCATCTTTATTTATTTATTTATTTAAATTTGACCAGAGAGAGACAGAGAAAGTGAGAAAGAAAGTGAGAAAGCAAGCTACCAGGTCCGGGACTCAAACCGTGATCAGCCATGTGGGAGTGTCTAGCACTTTACCCACCATACCACCTGCTGGTCCCAATAAAATCATTTTTTAAAAAGGATGTGTGTGTGTGTGTAAAAACAAACATAAGCATTCTCATGTTGGTAAGGTAA